AAAGATTTCAAGAGTGAAAGAGTTACAGGAAGCCTGTTAGCTTGCTGAGAAAAAGACTTTTGTGCAAGAATGAAATCATCCTGTAAGGCAACAATGTCCACACTGACCTTGCTTCACTCAGGAAGGTCCAGAGATCTCACTGGAACAAAATCAGCTGAGAGTTCACCTAGCCCAAGCTCTTTGTTGCCTCCCTCTGAAGCCTTCTGAAATGTCAGCTCACCGTGTGATCCCCCTGTTAAGCATCTGTGCTCACCAACAGCTCCTGTAATCACCATTTGCTCTTCAGAAACCAAGGCAGAAAAAGGGATGAGAAAAGGCTTCACACCAGCTGCCTCCAGAGCCAGCAGCACGACTCCCTGCAGCAGGCACTGGAACAAGGCTGTGACACTGGAACACAAACTTCAATGTCTCCTCTCCATGAGGGAGGAAACTTGTCCATGATTAAAGATTTTGAGGGGGAAATATCACAGAAGCTTGGAACTCTACAAAGTCAGAGGGCACAGTGAAGTCCTGTCCATCCTTCCCATGTAGGTCACTGCTCTGGGCTTCAGTCCTGAAGCTCTTCTTACAGGATACAATTCCACTACGTGTAACCTAAGGAAAGCAAAAGGTTCCCAAACTGCAGCATCCTTAAAAATGATTGTTCCATTCTGAAAATAATTAGCCTCATTTCACAGTCAAATGGCACACAAAAAATCACTTGCAGCTTTAGGGTGCCAACACTCAGACAACGTGTGGGAGTATTTCCTCAGAAATAAATTCCTGAATCACAACTGCTAGGCTTGAACTCACACACCAATAAAACCATCAATAAATTCTTCAAAAGACATCCTCTGAGTGACAGAGTTTTCCATGAGATGGAAAATAATGTTGCCAAAGCTGAGAATGTTTTGCAGCTCTTCCAGTGAGGATAACCAGGCAAGAGCCTTCCCAGTACCACCTGATCCTGCAGTCCACACACCCAGGACATGTAACCCTGTGAAAACTTTATCCCCCAATGTTAAAGGGACAGCAGACTCAGGAAAATGAAGATGCACAAAGCTACTTCTGAATTTCATAAGCATCTTTGGTATTAACACTAACAACTAGAAAGGTATTTCTTTAGAAGAGCTACAAAATTCAAGAACAGGTTAAAATAAAAAAGCAGACCTGTTATTTTGGCAAGTCTGTGGAGGAAATTCTTCTTGGCTCAGTTCTGAAGAAAGTTATTATTTATAAAAGCCCATCCTTCAGTTTACTTTGGAGAACTGCTGCCCCCAGTTAATGCAGCTTGGGGAGGGAAAACACATAGATGAATGTTTCATACGTGGAGTGACAGACTGACATCCTCCACAGCCCAAACAGGATGAGAAAGAAAAAACCTGATGTGTTGTATGCTAAACAGAGATGCCAAATTAGTAAACTGAGACTAGCATGAGAAGATGGACCTCATCAAGCTCTGTGCTGGACTGACACCACCCTGTAGAAACCCAGAGCTTAAGCACATTCTCCATCTATTCTTTCCCACTGAAAGAAGCACCACTACAAAGTGTAAGAGAGCTGTTAACTGCTTCAGAAGCAAAGTTTCAGTGCCAGCAATAGGGTTCTTTACAACATAAGTAATCCTGTAGAGCACAGGGGTGTGTGACATGGCATATTTGTAATTGCTGAGGCATACTGCTCCAAACAACCATGGCATTAAAAGGGTGAGGCAACAGCAACTTGCAAGATTCACCTTCCAAAACACTGCTGGCATCTTGCTGCAGTGCAATGAACAGTTTCAGGAGGAACACAGTGACACTGAACTTTTAAGATGGACTCTTAACTCATCTTGTTCCCAGCCAGGTCCATGTTAGTCCCTCAGTGGAGACACTGCTGCAATCGGTCCCCAAATTATCCCCCAGTCAGGGCCTTCAGACTGAACAAGCAGCATCTTCAGATAACTGAAGAGACCAGAAAAGTGAATGAACCTCAGAGAACAAAGGGTTCTGGGTAACTTTTTTCCTTTTAGCTACTTAGGAAAGAACATTCAAAGTTGTGGGAGCAGGGATAATTTCATGCTGAAAGAGAAACAACCTCACCCAAGTGACCAACCCCTAGCCCACCCAGGTATGGACACAAGCACATGAGAGGTTTGCTGCTGATGAGATGTCCAAGTCTAACTGAAACTGGACCATGCACGGATCTCAAACCCTCTCAACTCATACCCAAGAAGTCCTCCAAAAGACAAGATTTGACCTGAAACACACACAGGGCTCCTCCTGCTTAGGGGAAGCAGGCACAGGCTCTCCCTGCCGTTAAGTCCACTCGCACCCATCCCACAAAGGAAAAAGGAGAATTTCACCTCTGCTCACCTCTCCAGATGGTCAGCACAGGGGAGCCATGAGCAGCTCCATCTCCAAACATCCCTGGTGCCCAGCATGGCCACTTTTACTTCGTACACATTGCTCTTGGGGCAGCAGCCAGGCCAGCTGGTCAGCACCAACCCACGCAGCTCCTGTGCCTGGGCACTCCTGGCACTCCTCTCCTTTTGGACACTGAGAAGTGCTGCTATTCCAGTTCTTCCTTTTGCTTTACCAGTTCTAGGGGAAAATTGAAACTGCTTCCCTCAACCACCACCACTCAGCTTCACCTTTCCACCACTAGGAACACCTCTTTCATTGGAAATTGCATGGAAGACAAGAATTGGAATAATTTGATGGTGCTCTCTCAGCACTGCATGGAGTCAACACCCAAAGCAACTTCCCTCTCACCTGCAAATGACTGTTAAGAAAAGGCCACTTCTATTTACTTCCTTAACAATTAGGAATTAAATCATCTAAACTTCATTAGGCATCCAGTAATACAATCTCTTACATTCTGCACATAATCATTAAGGTTGGAAAAAACCTCCAAGATCAAGTCCAACTGTCAACCCAACACTCCCATGAGCACTAAACCAGGTCCCCAGGTGCCACATCCACATGTTTTTTGAACCCCTCCAGGGCTGGGGACTCCAGCACCTCCCTGGGCAGCCTGGGCCAAGGCCTCACCACTCTGGCAGTCCAATTCTGCCTAATAACCAACTGAAACCTCCCCTGGCACAACTTCAGCCCATTTCCTCTCATTCTGTTGCTGGTTACTTAAGAGAAGAGACCACCTCCCACCTCACTGCAACCTCCTGTCAGGGAGCTGTAAAGAGCAAGGTCTCCCCTCAGCCTCTTCTTCTCCAGACCAAACAGCTCCAGGTCCCTCAGCCACTACTCACAAGCCATGTTCCCCAGACCCCTCGCCAGCTTTGCTGCCCTTCTCTGGCCACACTCCAGCCCCTCAAGGTCTTTCTTACCCTGTGGTGCCCAAAACTGGCCCCAGTGATCAAGCTGTGCCTCCCCAGTGCCAAGTCCAAGAGCACAACTCCCTACTCCTGCTGGACACACTATTTCTGATCCAGGCCAGGATGCTGGTGACCTCCTTGGCCACCTGAGCCCACTGCTGGCTCCTGTTCAGCCAGCTGGCCACCAGCACCCCCAGAAAGTCAATGAGTCTATAACCAGTTTGCTGAGACTGAGAGCTGCATTCGATTCTGTGGTGACTCTGCATGTGTGCTTCACTTCCCAAACCTGCCCAGGCCCCACACACCTCCCAGGCAGCACAAGGGACTGAGCTGTTTCTAAGGGATGCCATGAAAAGGAACAAACCCTGCATGTGAAGAGCACACCAGGCAATCCACACTGAATCTGCATTCAAAACAATCCCAAAGTATATCCACTGTAACAACAGGATTCATCATAAATCACTGTTATCTTAAGTTATCTCACATTTTTCTTCTAACTGACATTGTTTAGATTTTATCAGCAGCCAATTAGCATAATTCCATGCAAGCTTGCTGTGGCAGATAACTGTAAAGCATAATAAATCTAAAGGCATTTGTAGAGAGTTACCAGTTCAATGAAAACCACATTTAAACTCCAGTGTGTAAGCAACTTAAAATATCCTTTTTCAGCCCGTAACGACTCTTCAGACTTTCAGTACTATTTTTATGGCTTTCCTTCATCTGCATTTGGCAACACCAGGATATCTAACCTCACACACCCTCCCCTGGCTGACTTGGGTTCTGGTGTGCAAGGAAACACAGGCACACGTGCAGCACAAAGCTCTTTGAGTCAGCTTGAGGGAGTTTAATGCCATGCTCCCTTGAGGTCCTTATGGAAAAAAACACCCCGACTCCTCTGTCAGTAGGATTCCTGGATCTGTTAATTGCCAGTGATTAATGAATCAAACGGGACAGTTATTCTGAAGATGCAAAAGAAAGTAAGAAAGCAGTTTTCTCCCCCAGGAGACACTTTAGAAGCAGAGACTCGCCTCAGTCACACATCAAAATATGTTTTAAGCTTTAGTAGTACCTCAAAAGAACCACATTATTTCTAAGAGTTACCAAACACTTATCTTGCCACTACCAGCAACAATCTATGGTGGTTTTCTTACGCCTAAGAAAGTGGCTCCTGAGCACCAGGAAGTACTGAAGATAGCATCACTGAGACTAAATTACGCTCGTGTGTGGTGTAATTACACCATCAATCTGCTGCACAGGGAAAATACTTCAACCTTGACATCAGTTTGCACACCTGCTAAAATAAATTCCAACCTTTTCTCCCAATCATTCCAACAAGTATAATGGTGGTTTGGAGGCGATTTAGGCATTCTACGTTCAAGGCCGAAATGAAACTACCAGTCTCTTTGAGAGGAGAACCAGCAGGTGACACTGAGGCTCCTGACTGAACTTCACAGCACTCAGCCCTTTTGAACTGCTGGCAACACCACCTTCTAACATTCTTCAGTTTCTGGCAAGTGAATGTATTTCACAGGCCAATAAGATCACACCGTGAACAGATCTAATTAAATCCACGTTTCTAACTCCAGCCACGAAAACCCAAAGACTGACTTACTTGGGTCTCGACTGCTGTACGGCCATCCTGAGGCGGGTAAAAAAGAGGGCACTGGGGAACTGGCCCTGCTGTCGTCCTCCACTTGCTGCGTGATGTGCCGCACGGTCTCTTTGTTCTTCCTGTTCTTCCTGCGGCCGGTGGGCTGCCAGCCATCCCCCCCGCCCTGCTCCGAGAACACGCTCTGCACCGCGCCCTCCTTGCCCGAGTGCAGCTCGCCCCCTCCGTAATGCGACGGGGAAACCTGCTCCTCTTTGATACGCAAAGACCCGTAGCCCCCGTCGCCAGACCACAGGGACTGGGACGAGACGTCTTCGTGGCCGTCTGGTTTGGGTTCTTGATCCTCCTTCCCGTAGCTGCTGCCTCCCTCGTGGCAGCTGGCGATGGCCGAGTCCCCGGAGGAGTTGGCGGGACTGGTCCTGCGGGCCAGCCAGGGGGATATGCTCCTGCCCGCCACCACCGCCGAGATCAGGGCGTCCGTGCTGCTGCTGGGGGGGGCCCCGAGCTCGTAATCCACCAGGTCGTCCGAGGCGTCCGACTTGATGCTGATGTCGAGGGCGGCCTTGATGAAGTTGTGGCAGGCCTGCACGATGTCCGTCATCTGCAGGTAGCTGGCGGCCGACATCACCTCGATGACGTTCCTGCTGGTCAGCGCCAGGTGCGCCGAGTACATGAAGTCGATGATGGCTTTGAAGCCCTGGGCGGTGACGATGTCCAGGTGGGTGACCGTGGCCTGCTCGGAGGTTTTCTGCACCTGGCAGTAGAGCGTCTTGAAGTAACGGCTGCTCCCCAGCAGGACGTTTTTGTGAGCCTTGAAGATCTTGCCCTCCACGATGATGCAGACGTCGCAGAGGATGCCGTGCTGCCGCTGCTCGTTCAGCTCGCGCAGCAGGTGACGGTAGTGGGAAGCGATCTCCATGTCTTCCTTTCGGTTATTCATCGGGAGGTCTTTGTGCTTCCTCTTCCACAAGTCCTGCGTGGGAAAGGAAACGACAGCATTACAGCGCCCAGGACGAGCTCACAGGCAAAACCTGAGTTGTAGCAGATTAAGTAACAGGTTTGTCTCAGAAGGAATGCCACCAAATACAACCGCTGCCTAGGAAGGCTCCCCATCCGTTACAGCATGCTGCTTATTTCTACCAGGCTTCAAATCGTTTACGTTAAAAGGGAGGAGATTTGAAGCTCAATCCTCCAGTGGCTCGTAACATCCCAGAGAATCGTTTCTTTAAAGTACTGTAGACTTGTAAAAAAACTCATCTTAAGTTACATGGGTAAAACAGCTGTCAGGTTGTAGCGTTTGGGCTCGGGGAAGTTTGGTTTTGAGAGCTGTACTGCACTTGGAACTGCTGCTGAAGAGCTCTCTGTAACACAATTTCCTCAAGGGAAGGAGCATTATGTGTAGCACACGGAAGAGCCGAAACCCTCAAATGGCAGAAGCCAACTGAAACCAGCTATTTCTCCTGCTGTATTGCTGTTGAGGGGCTATAAACACTGTTTTCGAGTCAGAAGAGCAGCAGGCAAATCCAAGACCACACATCACAAAATTAAGTCCCCACCCAAACTAAACTGGCAATAGATCAGAACTACGAAATTCATGTTATTCGAAGCCTATTTATAAGCACAAGATTTTTAACTTTGCAATAAAGCAAGTTGTTTCCTTGGCATTATATCTCCATGTTTACCCCTCAACCACCCTAAGATTGGCTAGAGAAATTCTGTTCATCACCTCAACATTCATGTCTAGAAAGGATGCTTATGACTAAATTAACAAAGCATCCATCAAGCTGAGCAGAATTCACGGGACTTTTGATCACCTTTCATAAAATTTGACAGTATAATCCCAACAAAAAAGGCTAGTTCGTGCCAGCAGCATGGCAGAGACAGGTATTTGCCAAGGTGGCACTTCAGTGGTATCAGGTTTATCAACACATTCTGCCTCTCCAGTGAGATGACTTCAAGCTCCCCACACTCAGGGTGTCAGGGATGGACGCTGGTAGCACCAAAACAGCCCAGTGAAGCACCCTCTGCCCCACCACACCCCAGCAGCAACTTCTCCAACTCCAAACTCGCCTTTGCACCTTTGCAAATCCCTTGGCATTGATTTCTGCAACTTTATCTAACTTATACCACTTAATTGGAACTTCCTATCAAGACTTAAATACCATATAACAGCAGTTTAATGGTCCAACTGATGAAGTGCACCAAGCTGCCACACAATGTGAAGGACATCTACTTTCTCTCAAAAAACTTACATTTGTTCCAATATAAGAACAAAATGGATGTAAAAATGGTACGTGGGTCCACGGGCTGGTTTAATGGTTGCACTCAATGACCATCCTAAAGGTCTTTTCCAGCCTAAATGATTCTGTAATTCTATGCCAGCCTACAACTACAAAATTGGTATGTGGATCCACACGTCAACATACAGCTGTAAAATTGCTATCTGCTGACAAGACCAAATTCCAGATGTAATTATGGGCAGGCACACACATCAGAAGCCTGGATTTAGGCTACTGGTAAAACCAACATCACTGTACCTCTGAGGTCTTACAGCCTTGAAGGGCACATGGTTAAATACAAGCCCTGTCAGTAAGGAGCTTGCAGCAACCTCCTAACGTGCGTCGAGCCCAAGCACAAATCCAGGCCCATCTGTCCACAGTGGCTCCCAGCAGTGGGCAGTCCTCAGACAGCCACGACTAAGAAATGACACAGGCAAGTGGGTCCCCTGCACCATGGAACACAGATCCCTGAGACCTCTGCTCTGGGCTATTATTATCATCTCCAGAAGCAAACCAGCCACAGCTCAGCCAACACCACTGGTGAGCAGACAACCCCTCAGCCCACAAAACATACGTGACATGGGACCTTTCTTCCACAGAGCCACCTGATGATTGAGAAGTCCAAGTTATGCAAGATTGCCTGCATGAGCTTCTCCAGTTCCACAAGAGCTGGGCTGGCTCTTTGGCAGGGTCAGCAATCTGCAAGGCTGGCTGGGCCCTGAGCATGGAGAAGCGTTTGACTCCCTCGAGAGAGGAAGAACCATCTTCCTGCAACACAAACAGGCTGAACTGGGGGTAACCCATTACAAACCTGTACAGCCTTCCTACAGAATTAAGCACAGACCACACAAAGAAGCTGATCTTTTTGTATTTGAACTGGAAGAGGCCCATAGGAGTGTAGCTCTGCACCATCTGGGCGACACAACCGCCACTGAAATCTGCCTGCAGACCTCAGATCAAATTCTCACACAGAAGCCA